CAGTTATACAAGAGTTCATATTGAATTTATTATAAAACCAGTACAGCTGATTAAAGACACTTGGAGGAGACAGTGGCTGTGTTTGTTGAATAATGATGAGCCTCTAGAAAGGTGTACCGTATTTTTCGCACTATAGGACGCACTTTTCCCCCTCCAAAAATGAAGGGGAAATGTGTGTGCGTCCTATGGTGCGAATGCAGGCTTTTGCTGAAGCCTGGAGAGCGAGAGGGGTCCGTGCGCACCGACCCCTCTCGCTCTCCAGGCTTCAGGAAGCTATCCCAAGTCTTGCAAGCCCGGCGGGATGTCCCGCGGGCTCGCAAGGCTTGCGGGCAGCAGCCTGCACCCAAAAGCTGGGGACAGCGGGGAGGCGCAGAGCCGCCACCCCGCTATTCCCCGACCTGATCTGGAGGCTGGCGGGGGGAGAAGCAAGCCTGCTTCTCCCCCCCCAGCCCCACAAGCTCGGGGGATAGGGGGATGGCGAAGCGCCGCCATCCCGCTATTCCCCGACCTGATCTGGAGGCTGGGGGTGGGAGAAGCAAGCCTGCTTCTCCCCCCCACCATCCCCACAACCTCCAGATCAGGTCGGGGAATAGCGGGATGGCGGCGCTCCGCCATCCCGCTATTCCCCGACCTGATCTGGAGGCTGGGGGTGGGAGAAGCAAGCCTGCTTCTCCCCCCCCAGCCCCACAACCTCCAGATCAGGTCGTGGAATAGTGGGATGGCGGCGCTCCGCCATCCCGCTATTCCCCGACCTGAACTGGAGGCTGGGGGTGGGAGAAGCAAGCCTGCTTCTCCCCCCCCAGCCCCACAACCTCCAGATCAGGTCGGGAAATAGCGGGATGGCGGCGCTCCGCCATCCCGCTATTCCCCGACCTGATCTGGAGGCTGGGGGCGGGAGAAGCAAGCCTGCTTCTCCCCCCCACCAGCCCCACAACCTCCAGGCTTCAGGAGAGCCCCACCGCCAGCCCCACAAGCTTGGGGGACAGCGGGAGAGGCGCAGCGCGCCCTTCCCGCTGTCCCCCGACTTGGCTAGAAGGCTGGCGGGGGGAGAAGCCTGCTCCTCCCCGTCGCCAGCCCCGCAAACTCGGGGGACAGCGGGAGAGGCGCAGCGCGCCTTTCCCGCTGACCCCCGACTTGGCTAGAAGGCTGGCGGGGGGAGAAGCCTGTTCCTCCCCGTCGCCAGCCCCGCAAACTCGGGAGACAGCGGCAGGGGCGCAGCGCGCCCTTCCCGCTGTCCCCCGACTTGGTTAGAAGGCTGGCCCAGCCCCGCAAACTCGGGGGACAGCGGGAGAGGCGCAGCGCGCCATCCCGCTGTCTCCCGACATGGTTTGGAGGCTGGCGGAAGGCTTCCTCCTCCCCCAGCCCCGCAAGCTCCCAGAGCGATGCCAAAGCTGCGCGCAGCTTCGGCATGGCTCTGGGTCCCGTTCTGGGGGAGGGGGAAGCTCGGGCTTCCCCGCCCCAGCCCCGCGCCTGGCGGGGGGGGGGGAATAATTTTTTTTGGCCTTTATTTCCCCCCCCCCAAATCTAGGTGCGTCCTATGGACCGGTGCGTCCAATAGTCCGAAAAAGACGGTATATCATTGTCAGAAAGCTGACATTTATCCAGTTCAGCTGTGTCAATGATCCATCTCTATGTGTTTTTTGAGGGTTTTTTCCTATTTCTTTTTCTGTTCTTTAAATGATCATTTATAATATTTTAAGATATTTCAGGGGAAATGCACAAAATCATTGATGTATTAATCCAAATTTGGGTTCTATTTGTCTCAGTGGAAGAATAAAGCATATGAACAAGTCTGTCATTGAAATAATTAAGAATTAAGGTTTGGTTAGAAAATACCTAGAGTTTCACACAATTTTTTAACTATTAGCAAGGAAGCAAGGAATCCCTTGACGGTTTTGAAAATGTGTAAAGGGGGTGGTTTTAGTGTACATAATCTTTTTTAAATTTTAAATGAAATGCCAGATTTCAAAGGCTGCTTTCATATGTATAATTTATTGGGAATTTACTGTAGGATTTGTTGCAGGAAGTGACATAAGGTATTCTACTAAAATAAAATATTCTGATAACTCTCAGAAGATTTTTAATTACCGTACTGTAGGGAATTCTTGCAGTAGCTAGAAAGCTTTCCTACTGCAACTTGCAGAAACCTCCACAGAAATCCTTTGAGATGTTGTGGTGAAAGAGTAAAAAAGGGGATACTTTTATGGCATTTCTTCCCTTGCTGCTTGCACTTCCATCTAGAAGATGCTACTTTCAGTGTTAGCTGGGCGAAAAGTAATGCACTGATTATTGTGTGGAAAGCTTCTAAATCCTTCATTTTGGCTGTGTTTGTCTGTCTGTCTAATTAAACAACCAACTAATATGCCGTGGACTTACAGCAGAAAAACCTTTATGGTAGCAAACAACATTAAAGCAATAACCGTACACAAGAAGCAATAAACATACACAACAGTAACACTCGAATGTTAAAAAACTCCAGCAAAAAACCCCAAAGGCACAAACTTGTTTTAGTCCCTCTTATTTACATAGTTTGCACACGTTATTTATTCATCCACATACAGAATACACAATTGTGATGTGGTATAATATTAGTGCTATGAAAGTTACACAATTTACAGAGCAATCCTAACTATGTCCACTAAGGTTTGTCACTTCCATGTAAATGGGATTAGAATTGCAGCCAAAGAGAGCAAGCTTAACCAGTAGAGCTGCTGCCTGGAGTGGGCTAGCATGGAGCAAATGTGGTTTTCTACTGATAGGGAAGAGCACCATTGATGACTGGGCACTTCCATTGAGTTAAAACCTCTGCAGGCATAGTTGCAGTGCCACTAGTGTTTCTGGTAGGCATAGACCCCAAAGGTGATGCTCTGGGACCAGGGCAGATGCAGCCTTGGAGAAGCTGAATTCAAACTCCCTTTGCTCTCCTATGCTAAAAATGCTGTCCCCATCTCCTGCCTTAGCTGGCATAAGCTAGCAGGGTTTGGGTAGTGGTGGATTAGCCATCACTTTATTCCTCCAACTGATACTGCTCTACGAAGTTAATGCTGTGCACATGTATGGGACTAAGCGGTATTTGACTTAAGTAGGAGTAAAAAATGCATAGGATTGTTCCGTTATAGAAGTCCATCTGGTTTTTCCCCACGTCTAAATTTGGTTAATAATATAGTTTAATTTTATGTTTCAAAATTATTTGAATGTGTGTTTCTTAAATTTAAGCACATTCCTAAGTCTCTTTCTGGATAGAAGTGCTATCTTAAGCTATATTTGTAATAGGCATATGATGACTGTATGTAAAACACAGGTCAAAGGACAGCAGAGGAAGCCATGCTGACATTTGTGCCTTTGTATTCTCTGTATCTCTCAGTTTTTGAGCCATTCACAACAACCCCATGCTCTAACTCAGTGTTTCCCAACCTTTTTTGGGCAAAGGCACACTTGTTTCATGAAAAAAATCTCAAGGCACACCACCATTAGAAAATGTTTAAAAAATTAACTCTGTGCCTATATTGACTACCCTATTTTTCGCCCTATAGGACGCACCGGCCCATAGGACGTACCTAGATTTTGGGGGGGAAATAAAGGGGAAAAAATTATTTCCCCCCCCAGACGCGGGGCTGGGGCGGGAGAAGCCCGAGCTTCCCCCGACCCCAGCCCCCAGAATGGGAGCCAGAGTGGCTCCCGGAGCTTGCGGGACTGGGGGTGGGGGAAGCCCGAGCTTCCCCCGCCTCCAGCCCCCAGAAAGGGTCCGAGAGCGATGGCAAAGGTGAGCGCACCTTCGCCATCACTCCCAGAGCTTGCGGGGCTGGAGGTGGGGGAAGCCAGAGCTTCCCCCACCCCCAGCCCCCAGAAAGGGTCCGAGAGCGATGGCGAAGGTGAGCGCACCTTTGCCATTGCTCCCGGAGCTTGCAGGAGCTGGGGGTGGTGGAAGCCAGAGCTTCCCCCGCCCCCGGCCCCCAGAAAGGGTCCGAGAGCGATGGCGAAGGTGAGCGCACCTTTGCCATTGCTCCCGGAGCTTGCAGGAGCTGGGGGCGGGGGAAGCCGGAGCTTCCCCCGCCCCCAGCCGCCAGAGCAGGTCAGAGAGCGATGGCGAAGGTGTGTGCACCTTCGGCATCGCTCTGGGACCTTGCGCGGGCTGGGGGCGGGGGAAGCCGGAGCTTCTCCCGTCCCCAGCCCGCAGAGCAGGTCAGAGAGCGATGGCGAAGGTGTGCGCACCTTCGCCATCGCTCTGGGACCTTGCGCGGGCTGGGGGCGGGGGAAGCCGGAGCTTCTCCCGTCCCCAGCCCGCAGAGCAGGTCAGAGAGCGATGGCGAAGGTGTGCGCACCTTCGCCATCGCTCTGGGACCTTGCGCGGGCTGGGGGCGGGGGAAGCCGGAGCTTCTCCCGTCCCCAGCCCGCAGAGCAGGTCGGAGAGCGATGGCGAAGGTGTGCGCACCTTCGCCATCGCTCTGGGACCTTGCGCGGGCTGGGGGCGGGGGAAGCCGGAGCTTCCCCCCTCCCCAGCCCCCCGAACAGGTCAGAGAGCGATGGCGATGGTGTGCGCACGTTCGCCATCGCTCTCGGGGCTTGGGAGGCTGCGGGCGGGGGAAGCTGGAGCTTCCCCCGACCCCAGCCCCCCGAACGGGTTGGAGAGCGATGGCAAAGGTGCGCGCAGCTTTGGCATCGCTCTGGGAGCTTGCGCGGCTGGGGGGATAGCTTCCTTAAGCCTGGAGAGCAAGAGGGGTCGGTGCGCACCGACCCCTCTCGCTCTCCAGGCTTCAGCGAAAGCCTTCATTCGCGGCGATGGGATGTGGGAGCTCGCTCGCTCGCCGCCCCGCGTGTGCTCGCCGCCGGCGCCCCGCCTCTCGCCGCCCGACTCGCCCGCCTCCCTCCCACGGCACACTAGGCAACGTCTCACGGCACACTAGTGTGCCGCGGAACACCGGTTGGGAAACACTGCTCTAACTGATGTGCTGTTGAAGCTAAATGTATTTAATGTCTTTGATTTTGTGCCTCTAGGTTGTCAAGAAAGAGGTCTTTGGGAATGTCCAGCAAGCAAACTGTGTATCAAATATACCATGATATGTGATGGCTTTCCAGACTGTCCTGACAATGTGGATGAAACTAATTGCTGTAAGTGCTTGAGGGGACAAGAGCACAACATGCCCAATCTGGGCAAAAAAAGAAGAAGAGATCATTATATCCTCCTGCCCCTTTTATTTCCTCTCTTGGATTAGCTGTCCTTCTAGCTCCATTTGCCTCTATTACATACTTCCTTGCACTATTCCTCCATTTCTGTACCTCATAATGAATTCATGCCTGGATGTCCCTGTCCCATCCTCATTCACAGAACCATAGAGTTGTAGAGTTGGAAGGGACCGAATTGGTTATTTAGTCCAACCCCCCCAATGCAGGAGTCTCAGCTAAAGAATCCCTGACAGATGACCATCCAACCTCTGTTTAAAAACCTCAATGAAGATTAGGTTCTCTTCTCCTAACATCAGCACAGCGCTTTAGGCTCACAGCAGCTGCTTGTTTTCAAGGCAAGGTTGCCAGGCATTAACTGGACCCCTAAAGCTGGCAATATTCAGCCCATTAAACTTGTAGGAGAATTTAATGATTACAGTTACCCTGGAGTGGCAATAGTGACACCAGAACTCTGATCTCTGTAGCAGAATCTATACATCTGTCAAAAGTCTGTCCCTGCTAAAGTGTCCAATAATATGATTTTTGGATGGGTGGGGTTTATAGTTGAGGTTCGCTACATGCACATACTACTGATATATTCCTGGGTTACTTAAAATATGTTCTCTCCACTCTCTTGTCCTCTAGACAGATTTCTACAGCTATAACCGTAACATTTATCTCTCTTTAAAACCAATCAATATTATTATTTGTATGCCCTTGGCAGGGAGTTAAGGCAGCTTACAGATAAAAATAAAAGCTAAAAACATAGGGAGGAAAACCAATTAAACATTGATAGAATTAAAACACACATTAAAACCATACAAATATTACAATAAAATTACAATAACAAACAGCCCTTTTGTTAAAAGCAGTCAGTTCCCCAAAGCATTTCAGAAAGATGCTGTATTGTTTTTAACATTCGATTGGAAGCCACCCAGAGTGGCTGGGGGAACTCAGCCAGATGGGCGGGGTATAAATAATAAATTATTATTATAATTATTATGAAGTCTCTGCCAGTCTAGCTTCCCTAGGGAAGGAGTTCTAAATTCTGCGAACAGCCACCCAAAAGCCTCTCTCCCACACCCCTAGTAGGTGTGCCAGTGAGGTTGGTGGGACTGAGAGAAGGGCCTCTCCTGAAGATCTCAGAACCTGGTCATAATCCATATGAAGGAATATGGTCTTTCATATAGCTTGGACCTCAGCTGTATAGGCCATTGTAGGTCATCATAGGTCATAGGTTTCTACAAAGGACTGTGGATAAAATAGAAAAAAATGGTCAGCTACAACATGCACAGATGACGTATTGTTTTGCCGGTTGAGTTTGAAAAAGACTGCAGTGGCCAAAATATTAGGAAAAAGACAGAGGAAGTGGGATCTCCAGGTTCAAAGACAGTAGCCAATTACGTTTCTAATTCTATTTACTGAGTAGCAAACAGCAGGCAAGAACTATGCTTTCAAACCCTACTTGTGGTATTCATGGAAGCTTTGGGTTGGCCACTGTTGGGAACAAGATGCTCAAGTAGATAGATCATCCGAGCTCTTCCTAGGTGCTTATAATGAATCCATGCACTTTTATTCCATCTGTGAATCAACTGTAGAACTTGTGTTTCTGGTCACAAAACTGGCATTTTAGATGTACACAATTACTTTTGTTTTCGAGGAGGAGAGACCCAATTCATATTAAGGTCATTTCCACAAGTGATAGAACAGGTATAGCTCTGATCCCTTAAATGCTAAGCTGTATTTAAGCATTCATGAAACTAACCTGAATCTATCTTTATGTCAATCTTGGTTTTAAAAAAATATTATTCTAGAGAAGACTAGGAGGGTGGAGAGGTCTTTTTCCATGCTTTTGGTATTCGTTCCTTTTGCAGTCATCCATGATGATGATGATGATGATTATCCAAAGACTCTCCTCCAATTGTTGTTTTGGTTTTGGGCTCTGCTTTTCTTTTATAGTTTTATATGTCACTTAAAGCATTCTGAGCTCATGGATTTGTAATGCCTTTATTGTGGGTTATTTGATAAAAGACATGTCAAGATTTAATGAAGGACTGTCTGCTTTGTTTACCCTGCTCAATTGGTTCTGGAAGAATTCACATTAGCGGGAGGCAATCTTGCATTATTTTTCCTTACTTGGAATTTTGTGTTAGTTTGACTTGTTTGTGAAAATTTTAATTCCACAAAGTTGGAACCATAGCCGTAAAGATGTAAACAAGATAATACAGAACTGTTTGTTCCTTTCCATGGCAAATCTTAGAGGGGAATCAGATGAATAGTTCCCCCACCCCACAGCGCCATGGAGTGTGGGCACCATGGAACTGTTCTACTTGAAGGGGTACTTTATCAACAGTATGGCAGTTCACAGTGGCAAGAAAACTCATTAGACACCCCCCCCAAAAGCAACACTGGGCATTGTTAAAAACAACATTTGTTATTGCTCTCCTTTTCATAGATAATGTCATTCTCAGTTCTGCAATGAAGCTATTTCTACTTCTGGACTTACTTATGTCTTTGTCTGCATTTTTCATGGCAGCATTTTGCAAAAGGGATGAACTTACATGTGCCAACCATGACTGTGTTCCTCGAAAATCATGGTGTGATGGGCAGATAGACTGTGCTGACAAATCAGATGAATGGAACTGTGGTAAGTTTTAGCATATGCACAAAAAGTCAGAATATGAGGTTTTCCATCTTAATTTCAGGGAAACCTTTCAACAGTGCTTGAAGTAATTGGCTGGTTGTGGGAATTAGCATGGAAAGGTGCATTATCCCTTTTAAGGTGCCTCATTGCTCCTTTCCACTTTTATAGATGGAAACCAAAACCCAGAAATAGAGACAAAAGCAGAAAACTCAGAAACAGAAAACTATTTACAGCATGGCCCAAACTCAAAATCTGCTGGATGAGAGATTTTGGACATGGCAGATCTTGAGCTGGCTGAGCTGGGGCTATGTTTGTATAAATTCCTCATCCAGCTGAGCTGAAGATATGTCAGCATAATTCTCTCATTCTGGCTCAGACAACAGAACTTAGGCCACCGTAAGTTACGCTGACATAAATCCTCAACCAGGAGTGTTCCAGGGATGTGAATTGGGCAAGGAGAGACTTCCACCTATTTCAAATGTTTTTCAGCTTTATCACATGACCTAGTGGCCCAGCGAAAAAATGGTGGTATAAGTTGAATTCCTCCTGAGCAAAGTTTGGAACAGGGGTAACTTATGCCAGCGCAATTTACAATGGCATTCTATAGTTAGCATTGCTCTGTAGATGAGTCTACCATGTCTATGTGTAGAACGGTAAACAGATGAACACATATGTTCCCTTCTCAGTACATAAGTCCAAAAACAGGGCTCTCAAGAATAACAAAACCAATTAAGACCCAAAACACACATTTCACACAGATCATACCAGTATTGAATGAGTGGTGTTTTAAGGAACAATCTAAACTATAGAAAGATGGTGTAACATATGCCGACATAAGTTATGTGTTTAAGTACTGGTCTTTACAATAACCAATGGATGGGGGTTGGGGGAAGCTTGAAAGAATGCTTTTCATATGATGTATGTAAAGCATAACTATTTTTAAACCCATATCTCTTGCATATCCCTGGAGACAAGCAGCAAACTATTCTGAAACAGTGATTTCTGGCAATGGAAACTGCTTGGTCTTCAAATCAAGCTCATTACATATTTCATAGCTATGGGAATATGGTCCACTGTGGAGTGTTTAATTGTGCCATCACTAAAAGTAATTTTTCTTCTTCAGTCATTGCATATATGATTAATCAGAAATGGAACTAATGACTAATCTTGCTGGTAGAAAGATCTCCAGAGTAAAATAGGCCCAGCAGATTGGTGGGGGGTTTGGTCCATGTACCAGTGTGTTCAATTTGTTTCCACATTCAGGAAACAATGCTGGCAACAATTTTTAGATGGCACTCTATGTCTCTAAAACTGTCTCCCTCAAATAAAACTATTATGTTCATGGTGTGAAGAGGACAAAGACTTCTTACTACTGTTAGTGAATCTGTCACATAATGGCAAAATCACGGGGAAAGGTTTTTATAGAAATAAACTGGATTACTAAACAAAACTTTTTGTCAATACCAACACTGGCTCTTCTTAGCAGTTGAGATGGCCTGAATGGAACCAGCAAGGAGTTAGTTAATATTTTGCTTATGGCTGAAAAAGATGATTTATTTCTTGTTACCTAAAACATCTGAGAGAGGCAATGGCAAAATCTTGGTATGACAAAGTCTGGTCCCTGGTGACTTCTGAATAACTGATACAGAAAATCTGTCTAAAGGACAGGCAGAGAAGTTTACATGATCCTAACATTATACAGTTATATGGAACTCAGCTGGGTAAGCTAAGCGTTCATTCCTTGTTCACACAATTTACAACTGATTCATGTTACACAGGGGGAACTTAAGGGACAGTACTATAGAAATGTTAAGCAAGTTTATACTTAGAAAATTGACAGGAGGCATTAAAAGCTTTATAAAGGAAGAACATACCTAAGTACAATACACAACTTGACACAGAAAGAACAAACACAAATGCATACATCATCAAATAGGCCCATCTTAATAAGAAAGCATAACACATGTGACAAGAAATAATTTTATTTACATCCACATGTAAGCCAGCCCATAGACCTCTACAGGCTTAATGAAGTTACATTTCCCTTTTTTTCCTTCACAGTGACCCTGTCTAAAAACAGCAGCTCCTTGATGTTCCTGACTGTTCACAAGTCAGCTTCCAATTACCATGTATGCGCTGATGAATGGGACGAAAATTTAAGCCATTTGGCATGCAAACAAATGGGTTTAGGGTAAGGTCAGTAGTTTGTAGCATTGATCAACTTTTCCAGGTGTGACTATGAGTCTGGGTGAAGCTGATTGAGTCTGTGACAATTTCTTAATTAGCAAAAACACTGTTTTCTTCCTTTGCTTCTGCTGCCTGTTTACTTAGCGCAATCTAGACTCTCTGACGTGCCCTGGATTGCACATCACACCATGCCAAATGGGGCTGCAAGAGTGGAGCTTATAGCTGTTTTGTTCTTCACTGGACCTTTTTGCTACCATACCATGCTGAGCTAAGCCAGGGTATGGCTTAACATGGCATCCAAACCTGGGCTTGTGGCTAGGCTTTCTTCAGACCAACCATGAGCTGTAACCAATAATAAATGGGTAGATTAGTAAACCAAAGCTATAGTTGATTAATTGGGAGAAGCCAAATCTAATCAATGAGGCTACAAGTGAAAAGTGCACTTGTTTATTTTGTGAGGCAGGTTTGGTATGTTACTGTAATAGTGAATGAAAAAGAAAAGGTTAAGCTTTTCTTTTTAACAGTGAGTAGTAGCTTTTTGTTATTAACACATACATAATTTCACACTTCCTTCAAAATTGCATAAAGCCATGCATGTTGGGGTTTTGATAATAAGCCAGCTTATCTAAATGTAACCAGTTGATTCTATGAAAGGTAAATGATTAACCAGCTAATCAATGTTTTCATAACTTGAGAGGCCTTCTATGGAGAATCCATAAGCTAGGGTTTTAAGGGGAATTTTGTTGAAAGTGGGAATCTCAGTGCCATCCAAATTTGTTTGGGGATTATTAGGATTGGTTTGGTTGTGCATGATGAAGTGATCAAGTGAGTCACATTAAATAAATACAGTCCCCCCCTAATGATAGGGTTATTGACCACTTGTCCTACTTCTGGCCTTCCAAAGGCATCTGGTTCACCAATGTGGGAAAGTAAATGCTGGAACAGATAGGGTTTTGGTCTGATCTAGTGGGGCTCTTATTATTATTTTATCCATATGTTTGAATTTATTGCATGCCCATTGTAAACCTGACCTCTGAAGCAGCTGGGAGGACATAAAAGACCCTTTCCGTTTGTTTTGTAAAACTTGAGTTGTTCTCTTCCCTATAAACTGAATTCCTAAAATCTTATGCTGTTGATCCTGATTTAACCACAGTTCTTACAGCGTAAAACACATTGGTATAATATTTTGTTGCAGAAAACTCTTTTATGCTAGATGAGGCTCTTTTGTGGAAGTATTGTATGTGTGTGTGGCTTAGGTGTACCACTGTTTAATCTAGGCAAGAGGGTTTGGGGTACTTTGTTCTGTGCAGACAGGATATGAAACACTTCTGCTTAGATAACCATACATGCTGAATTCAAGTGGCCAAATATTACATGCTCCTGGTGTAGCATTTTTTTAATATTTTGGTGCTAAAAATTCAAATTGTCCCTCTGTCGTTTAATATGTTATTATACAATGTTTACATCTGAAGATGCTTTGGGAACAAAGTGTACCACAAACATGCAGTTTGTTTATTTAACAGAATTTCTATACTGCTGTGCCGTGCTGTTGTGTGTAGTTATTATTTTAGTCCCTTTTAAGCATTGTTTGTTATTGTTTTATTATTTTAATTGATTATTGGTTACCTAAAAAACACAGAACATATGAAATAACTGTATTTAAAAATCAATCAATCAATCAATCCATTCCAGCTGTCAGAGTCCCCACTGACACCTCACCAGTCCTCACAGACATAGACTCAGCTGGCAGTCTTCTCTCAGTCCCTGTCTGTTTTCTACTCCTATTCTGCATTTCTAGCCTCCTGGAGGAAAGGCTGCCTTTTCCAGGTCACTGTGAAGAGGCAGAAAGGTTGGAAAATGTAGTTCCTAGATCTTATGGTCTCATTTACAGTCCCATGTGAATTGATTTGAATGTGTAAAAAGGTAAAGGGACCCCTGACCATTAGGTCCAGTCGTGGCCGACTCTGGGGTTGCGGTGCTCATCTCGCTTTATTGGCCGAGGGAGCCGGCGTACAGCTTCCAGGTCATGTGGCCAGCATGACTAAGCCACTTCTGGCGAACCCGAGCTGTGCACGGAAACGCTGTTTACCTTCCCACCGGAGTGGTACCTATTTATCTACTTGCACTTTGACGTGCTTTCGAACTGCTAGGTTGGCAGGAGCTAGGACTAAGCAATGGGAGCTCACCCCGTCGCGGGGATTCGAACCATCGACCTTCTGATCGGCAAGTACTAGGCTCTGTGGTTTAACCCACAGTGGCACCTGCGTCCCTGTTTGAATGTGTAGATTGGTACTAAATAATAAGCAATAAAGAAGCCAATTAATAATGACCCAGGGAAGGCAGTTTAAGTAAGTGCCCTTTTATAGCACCTTTATCATTACAGTAATACATCTCTAGTCCCATGAGTCACAGGGATGTGGGTGGCACTGTGGTCTAAACCACTGAGCCTCCTGGGCTTGCCGATCGGCGGTTCGAATCTGTGCGACGGGGTGAATTCCTGTTGCTCTGTCCTAGCTTCTGCCAGCCTAGCAGTTTGAAAGCATACCAGTACAAGTAGATAAATAGGTACCGCTGCAGTGTGAGGGTAAACAGTGTTTCCGCGTGCTCTGGTACTTGTCATGGTGTCCCTTTGCGCCAGAAGCGGTTTAGTCATGCTGGCCACGTGACCTGGAAAGCTGTCTGTGGACAAAAGTCTGCTCCCTCAGCCGGAAGCAAAAAGTCGGCTCCCTCATCCGGAAGCAAAATGAGTGCCACACCCCATACAGTGGTACCTCGGGTTACATACGCTTCAGGTTACACACTCCACTAAGCCAGAAATAGCGCTTCAGGTTAAGAACTTTGCTTAAGGATAAGAACAGAAATCATGCTATGGCGGTGCGGTGGCAGCGGGAGGCCCCATTAGCTAAAGTGGTGCTTCAGGTTAAGAACAGTTTCAGGTTAAGAACGGACCTCCGGAATGAATTAAGTATTTAACCCGAGGTAGTTGCCTTTGACTGGACTTCATCTCCAGGGGTCCTTTACCTTTCTCATTTTTAAAAAAGTGATTTTGTGATGCCTATTCTGAATTATCCTTTGTTTGGAAGTATTAAGGAACAATCTTTAAAAATGCATATTTTAAAGACATGTGAACATGGGAGTTCTATGTCCTTGAGGAAAATCAGGTTAGGTGACTGAGAGGTGAATCTGCAAAACTTTTTTCTTAAGGTAGGTGAAAGAAATGTATGAAAAATGTTGGCATGGGGGGGCAGTACTTCCAGGTGCCTCTCATTTGCTACGGGTGTGGTCTGTGAAATTGTATGATGAATGGTGGAATTTGTTGCTGTATGTGAGTTGACCTGGCTTATGGATTTACTTATTTTGCATGTTTTCTTAGCTGCTGCTAAAACATTCATCAAAAGAGAGAATAGAAGAATGTTTTAGTGCCATGCCATCTTTTCAGAAATAAGGAAGAAGAAAAATGTGTTTTGGATTTTGACGATCTCTAACAGTGCAGGCTCTAAATGCTGCATTTGTAGATTTTTAACTGAGCAAAGCTCTCATAGGTATTGAAGGTGTGTGGATCAAAGCATGCTCTGCATGGGCTATACTGTCTATATTATATTGCTGACTTCCTGCACCTTGTGTAATGAATAAATAGTACAGCAATCTGTAATTTAGTCTGCTATGGTAAAAACAACAACTGATTTACCAAATGCATGTGAAGCATGATATGCATGTACATGTGGATGTTCTCAAAAATCACCTAAAGGTGTCTTAAATGTCAGCCACTAAGAATTTATCAACTCTGCTTCGTACCAGAGGTTCTGGGGCACCTAAAATCTGTTATTTTAGACATGTTAGCTAAATGACTTCCAATTCTTTTGCAAAATTAGCTGCACTAAATTAGCTCCTATTCAAATATAGTCATTTGCAACCATGCTACTCCCAACAGCAATGGTCAACACACTTTCCCATCTAAATTCCCAGTGTAGATAGAATGCAGAACCTCATTTGCATTGTAGAACAACAGGGTCTGTGCTAGAGGCCTTGCATCATAAATTATATTGCAATGCAGATGTGCATCTGCTTCCATTCTGCATGCAGTTTCTACTCCAGAAAAAAGAAAACACCATGTGGAAATTACTCCTGCATGAATAGCTTCCCTACTGGGTTTCAGTGGGATTCATTTCATTCTCTGAATGTTACCAATTGCTTAGCAGCGTGTTAAGTTTTCCAAAACTATTATTCCAAAACCAGTACATTAGAATGTGTACTACTACAACTAGTCTGAATTACATCAGCCTACAGTTGCTTTTAATAGTTTATCTGTTTATTCTTAAACTCAAACTACACAATATATGGAATTATTTCCTTTTTTAAATCCAAAGCACCCCAGCCTTTGCTGAGCACAAGGGCACTTGAAGAGAAATCTGTTTCCCCGCAGCTCAGAATTGCCCTCCAGGTGGTAAATATGCCAGATAAATGCATGATGATAAAGCTCATTTTTCATTCATGAGGAGAAAGATGCAGGATCTTCTGCTCACACACAGCCTTCCCCAGGTTGCTTTGGTTTTTAAAAAACTGTGGAGGAAAGAATCACAAAACTTGCTTACTGTGCACTTTGATCCAAAGCCTTATACTTCATATTTCTGTGCATCTCATGTACTATATGAAAAAGAAATTGTGGTGTTTAAATATGCAAGTAGCAGATACAAAAGCAACATCTAAGAAGCAGCTTTCCCCACATGTGTCCATTCAAGCACTTTGATCTGCAGAACTGGCACCATTACAGATGCCACATAATACTTGTTCTGAAGTTGTAGGACAATATGCATCTGAGTTGCTGCCTTCTGTAAAATGTTATGTTGCTTCTAGTGTATCTCTCTCTTTTTACACTACATAACATTTCTCTTTGACACACCCCTTTCTCAAAACCAAATTTGTCATATTATCCTAGACCAGTGTTTCCCAACCGGTGTTCCGCGGCACACAAGTGTGCCGCGAGACGTTGCCTGGTGTGCCGTGGGAGGGAGTCGGGCGGCGAGAGGCGGGGCGGCGGCGGCGAGGAGGACTTTCACCCACTCTGATGCTCCCGGCAGTCCTGGCTGCAGAGACTGGCTTGGGAGCCCCTGGCATCAAGGGCGAAGAAGCGAGTTTCTCGTCCTTTTTACTGGTCCCGACCCAGATTTTAGGATCCTCACTCCGGCGGAGGCTCTCTGCCTTTCTAAAAAGTGACCCACGCGAACAGCCTTCCCTGCCTGCTTGCAGACAGGGCTCCCCAACCGACTCGCCCCGTCGGCGCTGCCTACCGGCCAGTCCCGCAACTTTCGTCAGCCTCGCGGGCCGGGCAAAGAGGCTTTCTGCTCGCTCGGTCCAGTCCAGGGCTCGCTGCGGAGGAGGCGGTCCCGCCAAGCCGAGCTCGGAGCCAGCTGCCTCCGCCCCTCGGAGCTCCGCAGGCGCGGCTGCTCGAGGGGCGGGTCGCGCGCGCGGCAACTTTTGGAGACGAGAGAGCCGCGGAGGCTGGCAAGCGAGGGCAGCAGCGGCGGAGCAAGAGCCACACTTGGGACGCCGCTCGCTCGCTCGGGCCGGAAGAGAGGCCACTGCGGCGCGGCAGCTGGCGAGGAGATGGCCGGGGGCGCGGGCGGCGGGGGCCAGGGGCTGGCTGGGGGTCGCCCTGGTGGGTAGGTAGCGGGGCCGGCAGGCGGGGAAGGGAAAGCGGAGGCGAGTGGAGAGCGGGGACCCGGCGCAGGTCCTGCCGCAGGCGGCGCGCCCGGGCTGGGCAGGGAGAGGCGAAGCTGCTGCCGGTTCAGCTGCGCAGAGTGGGGTGGAGGGAGCCGAGCGGGGGCGGGCGGTGTGCTACACCGCAAAGCAGGGGCGCCTCCCACCCCGAAGAGGACCGCGCCGGCATCTGGGTGGCTGGAGCAAAGTGGGCGCCTGCCAGCAACTTGGCTGCGGGAGCCTGGCTACGAAATACCGCCCCCCTCCCCGCGCCAACACACCGGCTTTCTCCGGGCCCGGAGGACTAGCCCCCTCCCCGGGAGCAACTGCAGCAGCTCGGGGCCCAGCAGGACATCCTGGCCACCCGCACCCGCAGTGCCGCTGGGGCTCCCTTGCAAGGAAGAAACTGCTGCTGTCCAAACTGCAGCTCCGTATCCTCCGACTCCTGAGTGCGGCGGCAGGGCGGGGGAGGCAACATTTGCTTCTGCTCTGCTCTGTTGGGACAGGCTCCTGTCTCCTCCCCGTTGGAGCTCCAGTCTGC